AAACATTTAACTTGCAAAAAATTTTTATTGACATTTGGTGAGCATCAAGGGGATGGTAGTGATATCATTAATTTCATGCAATTCAAAATCTATAAACCTGGTGAAGCATTTACATATATTTCATAAGGTAGTAATTGCTCTAAGAATGATGTGTCAACTTGTAACACGCAAATATGTAGTGCTGAACTCTCATTTTATGAGTGAAAATTCTAATTTAGATAAAATTATATTTACTCTAACTATTGTATACTAATTTTCCATTCTAATTTTGTGTGGCATATTTAAAAATGGGAGTGATAGTTATCTGGTTCTTAGTGAAGAATATACAGATTATTGATGGCAAATTAATGTCATTAGAATATTTAAAATACAATCATCTAATTTTAACAGTGATTTGATAATATTTTCATCAAATTCATGAAAAAATAGCAATTTCAGGGAAGTTTATATTAATGCCCACCCTTGTTATGAATAGCAATATGAATTCAGTTAAAAAGTTCAACATTACTATACAGATAAAATTATTTGTTATGTGATGATGATGTGAATATAATTGTTGAAGCAAGATATTGTAGGAAGATAAATGTTTTATTAAATAAGCAACAATATAATAGAACTAAAATCAGAAATGTTTGTGCTGCACACATAATTCATAATTGTGCAAACTAGGTATTTTTGGTAAACCAAAATAGAAACTGGTTTCTTGTATTTATAAACACAAACACATTATGCACACATATACACATGCATATATGTACACTGAAAATCCACACATATGTGTGCATATATGTACATTTGCATATGTATATATGTGTACCAGTGTGTTTGTGTGTGTATATATGTATATATATATATAATATACACATATATATGTAGATTGATAGATATATTGATACCACACTGCATAGAGTATAATATTGATGATTTTCTAGTTTTGGGGTTGGATGATGACAAAGAAAAAGACAAGGGAAGAGAAGGGAAGTAGGGAAGGGTAGGAAAGAACAGAGGACAAGACAAAGGAGCCTCCTAAGTGTATGTCTTGAAACAAGGTTCATGAATATGTTCATCTGGTCTATCTTCAAACATGTTGTAATGTTTCTACTTTAGCTGTCTCATATTCTCCCTCCATAAAAACAGGTCAAAGGTCAAACAGGTCAAAAAATGTTGGAGGGTATCTTTCAAGTGTGGAGAAAAGCCAAAACTGTTGGCCAATAGGAAGTTGGTGAAATAGGTTTGGGGTACAAGATTTTCAGGTCCCTAAAAGTCATTCAGGCAGTGATGTCCCACAGATAGTTGGTAAAGAAGGCCTGAGACTTTGGGAGGGAATGGTGTGGAGATAAAGAATCATTGGTATTTAGAAGGAAATGAATGAGATCACCCAGGAAGAGAAAACTATGTGAATCCAAGGAGCTGAGGATAGAACACCTGGGAACACTGCCTCTTATGGTATCTGCTCTTCCTGGCAGGCACCACCATCAAGATCAGGAGTTAGACAGAGCTGGGTTTGAAAATGGATATGAAATTTAAAAGCTGAGTGATCTTGGCAACTTTGGGGCATCACCTCGGAACTGCTGTTATAGTGAAAACAGGCAACTGAGAGGGATGCTGAGAGAAGGAGCTGTGAGATGCTTCAGGTAAAGCACCGGGGGTAAAAGAACCTTATTTTCCTCCTCTGCTTGGTGATGCCACTCCCCTTTGTCATACCGCAACTATCCTCAGGTTACCAGTTCCCACAGGATAGGTGGGAGACTGAGGTGGGTGTGAGGGATATCAAGATCCGGTGACGCGGAGCTCACGTGACTCGCTTGGTGACTACGTGGGAACAGCCCCGGCGCCTGCCAGCCCTGCAGTTTGGTCCTGGACCCAGCGCCCACTCAGAACCAGTTCCGTGAGCTGCCTGGGCTATTGGGACCCTGAGGAGGCACAGGCCCGTCCTGGGTTTCTGCAGGTCAGTGTGAAGGCGGCGAGCGCTGCAGGCAGACCCTGAGCAGAAGTGGAGGTGGGGGAGCAGCAGCATCCCACAACCACTGGAAGGGGGCGGTGAGCTGAATCAGCCAGATTGGCTAGGAGAGGGCGCAATTTGAGCCGGGGAGGAGGATGGGAGAAAGAGAGGGAAGACCCCACAACAGTCTTCTGTTTTTTGAGTCCCCCCCATTCCATTTTAGAACAAACAGAAGAGGGAGATGCCCCGCAGTGCGACACTGAAACCTAGACTCATTATGAAAATAACCCTCCTTTTACACTGTATTTATGGGGGCAAATGGATCTGGACAAAATGGATGTGGGGGAGGGGGCAAGTTGTCTGCTTTCGCCCAAATGTAGTTTGGAAAGCATCTTGGTTTGGTGGCCAAATCCTGAAAAGAAATGGCGACTGGGGTGCGGAAGGAGGGGGTGATGGAGGAAAATGGCTGTGAGGAGGGCCCGGATTCAGCAAAGGGACCCGAGTCCCTGTGAGCCCACTGAGTGCGCAGCCTCTGTCCCTGTGTCCTGTGTCTGCAGGTCCGCACTTCTGTTGTGGCCAGCGCTCTCTGAGGACTGAAAAGAAGGAGCAAGCTGCCCAGGATCCCGCAGGTCAGTGGAAGGGCAGCAGCCTGCACAAGGACCCCGAGGGTTGAGAGTGCAGAGGGCACTGCCTCCCCTCCACCTCCCAGACCCGGGTAGAATGTGGGGCCCTGGTTTGTGTGGGAAGAAAATGGGGTGAGTGGGGACAGAAAGCATACCTGGAGGTTGGGCCAGCTTCGAAGAGCCATCATGAGGGAGATGCAAGTTTGTTTTGTACCGGGATTTCATCTCTGTGCCTTCAGTCTCCCATGTTTCCTCTTTGTCTCCTCTTCCCTCCACCCTAACCTCTAGGACAGGAACAGAAGGGGAAATCCCGACATGAAAAAACTCTGCAGCGAAAATGAAGGAAAACCAGAAAAGGAGAGAAAGGCAGCAGACAAAGTAGAGCCTGAAGATGAAGGGAAGACCGAAAAGGAAGAAAAGCCTGACCATGAGGGGCAGCCAGCACCTGAGGGGAAGCTAGAGGGTGAGGCAGAGCCAGATGTTGAGGGACAAGGGGAAGATGAAGGCAAGCCTGAAATGCAGAGCAAGTTAGGAGATGAGGGCACCCCACAGGGTGAAGGCATGGTAGAATCCCAGGCACAGCCAGTGAGCAAGCAGTTGCCCGCTGAAAAGCACCTGGCCGAAGATTATGTGCCCCGCAAAGCAAAAAGAAAAACTGATAGGGGAACTGAGGATTCCCCCAAAGACTCTCAGGAGAATTTACAGGATACCCATTTTAGCAGGGAGGAGATGATGAGAGAGTTTGCAGATGTATCAAGGGGTCAGGACGAGCTAAGGAAAAAACAGAGGATAAATAATTTTTATTGGATGCAAAGAGAGCTATTGGAGTCATACCCCCCAAGGGGCCCAAGGGGTGTCAGGGGAATGAGAGGTGGAGGTAAGGGCCAAAGAGGCTTGCCTGATATCCCATATCTTTAATGCCTTTGGCCTTCTATTCTGACTTCTCTGTTAAGAATACTGCTGGCCCTGCTTCCCTTGGTAGATACTTGCCAGGTCCTGTGGTTTAACTTTAAGCTGATACTTTGCTTTAGGTGTCACTCTCCTTCCCACCTACTGCGCTTTGTCTTTTAGTACTGGATTTTCTCCCATGTGCATGGAAGAGATGTTCATGGTATGTTGTAAAATAATAATAAAAATGAAGTTTGCAGAACCACATATATAGTATCAGCCCACTTTTATACAATTGTAAATATGCTTACATAATGTAATTGTGCACAATACTCAGAATAAGTATACATGAAACAGTAGGCAATAGTTGTTCCTATACAGTGACTAAATACAAGTCTCACTTGTACTTAAAAATGCAGCTGAACACCGGTAGGTTAAATACTTCTATGCCATTCTGGTGTTCTCACGTTGGGTTTTCTCTAGATATACCTAGGCCAGTGGGCACTGCTTGCCCTTTTTTCTGGGTTCTCAGCCATCCTATGGCTCTTCTCTGTGTGATTTTTTTTTTTCAGTACTGGGGACTGAAACAAGGTTTCTGCAGTGAGCTACATCCTCAGCCCTTTTTAATGTTTTATTTTGAGACAAAGTCTCACTAAGTGGCTAAGTTTCAAATGGCTAGGCTAGAAGTTATGATCATCCTGCTTCAGCTTCCAAGAGTGCTGAGATTGCAGATGTGCACCACCATGTCAAGCTGTCTTTTTTTGTTCTGCTTTTTTACTTTTTTTTTTTTTTTACTAATCTCTGCTTTTCCCCCAAATGAATATAGATTATATTTGCCATAATCATAATCTTAAAAGGGCAAAGCCAGCAAACAATTGAACTGTTGAGGGAGCTTTGAGGGCAATTAGGACACAATTTTTGTTCTCAGAATGGGAAATAAGCAAATGTCACATTTTCTCTTGGACTCATAGCTAAAGGACTCAGCCTGTCACTACAGATCCATTGCTGTAAGGTTCAGTATTATCATCTTGAAATGACGATCATAGTTTTTCAGGACTGTCTAGTGGATCAAACAACATGCCAACTGTATGAGTTGTGGTGTAAACTCGTCTGCATTAGGCATGGGAGGAGTGAATGCTTGGGAGTACCAGAATCATGGATGAAGTCAGACACTTAGGGAGGGCTGAGGGAAGTCTCACTTGGGCCCATGAATAAATCAGCTTACCAGACCCATCAACACATTTGAATTTTAAGTCCTTGCTGGTGAACATGTCCATAGAGCAACTGCATCAGCAGTAAGTGCAAGCTAATTAGAAATTTAAAAAGTATCCTAGGCTCTGTGTCAGACCTACTGACTGAGAATCTTCATTTTAACAAGATCCCAAGGTGTCTGAAGAAACCTTGAGAAGTTTGAGAAGCCCCTGCCTAAGGAAGAGCCTTTTCAAGTTCCCCACTCTCACCTTCACATGAAATATGTACATGAACTATATAAGATACACAGCACAGAGTATTAAATAGACCCATGTTTGTCAAAATGAAGTTATCCTTTTATGCAAAGTTGATCTTAAAATCAATTCAATGGTTCAAGACTTACAACTTTTTTGATAAAATGGGGTACAATATAGTCAAATAGAGACATAAGAAACATCAAATTATATTACAAGTAGGATGAATATTGTTTTGTGAAAAATGTTTTAGTTGCATATTGTATGCATGCATGTGTGTATACCAAGAATTGTGATAAATTTATTTCTGAGGGTTGTGGTAAAAAAAATTTTGAGAAATATTGCATTGAGCCCTTGGAATCCTAAAGACCTATCCATTTCACTTATTTATTTCTAGCACCCAGCACAAATATCTGACAAGTACGAGGTACTTAGTAAAAGTGTGAATAATAATTATTAAGTTAGATATCACAGATTCTCCAAGTTCAGCCCCCATCTACACAGATAACCTCAGACAAATAAATTGTTTATCAGTTTATTTACAGCTCCAAAACGATTAGTGAATCATTACCTTCACACCCTGGACAAAGACTGCTGTTATTCAGACATTGCAGGCTAGGCCAGGAAAGCTGCCATTGTGAAAGAATACTTTCTCAGTAGAAGCAAGAAATTCTCATGGGCTGTAGTGTGTGGAACTTCTCAACCTCAGGAGGACAAGTTCTGCAACTGGGGAACTAACCAATTCTGAAATCTGTGCTATAAACAGACCCAGTGGGAGATTCGATATAGGTTACAGGAGCACAGCCTCACAAAGGACAAAAGCATGCCCGCCAGGGTGGGAGTCCAGAAGATCAGGGACAGAGGAGGAGTTGCAATTAAACATGTACCTGCAGATTATCATGCTCCACTTAACATAACAGAAATAGGGCCCTGGATTTTAGAAACAACATATATCATTTTGGTTTCATGCTTAGGCTCCATATAATTTCCAGTCTTGAATGGTACCAAGAGTAAGAAAAAGATCCATAGTATGTCCACACTTGTAGCTCAAGCTTCTCTGACATTGCAGCCTGTTAATCCTGCAGATCCAACAGAATTGTGTGTATGTTTGACATAGAGGCTTCATAAAATCTCGGAAAGCTACAAAAAGCTACAAAAGCAGAAAGCTTTTGGAAAGCTACAAAAGCAGAATTAGACTACTCAGGTCTAGGGTTCTAGGGGCAAAACCATTGGTCCTGGCTTGCTATTAAACCCTAGGAGAGATTTAACAAGTGATCATGAGATATTAATTTTCTTCACAAATAAACTATGCATCATGAATTTGTTTCTGTCTACTCTGTTGAATAATAATGTTTAGTGTGGACACTAGTTTTGCACGATTAATTGCAAATAGCTCTAAAATAGTGGGCCTGAATAAGTCATGAAGGCACAGGTATATTATATGTGGAGTTAGATCAAACATTCTCAGTGCATGCTTCTGCCATTTCACTGCCTCTCTCAACCTACATGTGATAGTGTGGTTCTAGAATGTCCCCCAAGGCCCATGTGTCAAATTCTCATTCTCCAGAGTTGCACTACTGGGAAGTGACCAAGTAAGCGGTCTTCCAGTCATTGGACGTGTTCCCTTGAGATGTTTGGTTTCCAGCCTTTTTACGTCTCTCTTTCCCTTCTGCATTTTGCCATGAGATGAACTGACTTCCTCTGCCATGTGCTTCCATAATATTGTACTGTGTCACCACGGGCCCAAAGCAATAAGGCCAACCAACCATGTACTGAAACCTCCAAAATTGTGACTATGAATAAAAATAAACTTTCTTTGTGAGTTGATTTATCTCAGATATTAGAGTATTGGAAAGCTGAGTGACACATTACATGTACCCTATAGGACCTTGTGCGAAGTTCATCCTTGCAATGAGTTAGAAAAAGAGAGATAAAACAATGGCCCAATTCATGGATATATCTTCTTGGTATGTTGATAGCAGATGCAAGTTGATAAGTATTTCACTCTATGCCACTCAGTGATAATAAAAAGAAACAATGAGAAGGAGATAGGTTTCCAGTGGAAGGGATTTTGTGTGCTTCATATGATTGTCCACTTTGTGTAAATCTTACCATGCCTGGACATATGTAGCTACCCTGCTTCATCAACTATGATAAAAGTTGGCTGATCATGTACTTGAAGAGAATTAATTTGGGCAATTAATGTTTAAAGTGTTTAGTGAATAGATTTGCAGGTCAAGCTTTCACGAAGTACACACATATTAAAGATATTTGCATGCCTCATGTAATGACTTACTCTTGCATAACAAATGACCATACACTTAGAAGCTTAACAAAATACTCATTCATTAACCTAAAGTGTGTAGGTCATAGTTATAAGACTGACATTATATGGCCTCATTCTCTGCTCAAGGTCTGACAAGGTTCAAATCAAGATGTCAGCCAGATTGAGTTCGCATCTGAAGACAGCAAGTGAAGTAACAAACCAGCCAGCCAAGAAGCAGCAACACTAGCCCTCCTTCTGTCCCTTATATTTTATCCAGGCCATTTCCCTTAAAGCAGGTAGCACTCACACTCATGGTGGGGCACCCTTAATCCTACAAAGAACTATGCCAAACCAATCAGTGGGCTAATTTAGTAACCACATACCCCTAACCCCAGCATCACACACTTAATCACAGCATCACACAGTTTAGATCCAGTCACCTCTGAAAAACCCTACTTATGACCATATGAGGCTTTGGGGAGAAATCTAGACATAAGCTATAACATACACTATTTACATCTGTAAAATTTCTTCTTAGCAACACATACAGTAGTATTTGAGTAACTTAGAAAAGGTATGCTATGCACTATGGGCTGGTATTTGGGGGGAGCCTCAGAATTCCACCTGGCACAGTCTGTCTTCTAGTTCCCAAATATCAAATCATTCTCAAAAGGAAAACACACTTAACTCTTCCCAAGATTTGCAATAATATCATCCCATTAACAAAATCAACTCAAAAGTCAAAATATAATCTAAATCATTAATGAATGTATTCCTTATGCATTACAAACATGTACTAGTAAAAAATTCAAAAAGATAAAAATCTAAATTAGAAAGCAGTTTAATGTTGTTAGGATGTAAAAATATGTTGCAACTTTTTCTCCCTGTTGTCTCTTTTAACTGTATTTATGATGACCTCTGTTATTCAGAAGATTGAGTTTTTTGTCAAATAAAATATATCAATAGGTAAAAAAAGGAATGTTATCTAATACTTGTAGTAAGTTCTGGTGTCTGTTACTCTAGCTGAGATGTGCATAACTGGAAATAGGAACATGCTCATATTAGAAAATTTGAAAGGCGTTCATAAGAAAGAATGATATTCAAAGACTGTGGTGGATTTTCAACTGGTGGTCAACTTATAATATCCAGATGAACTGAGGAAGCATGATGCTGGGAGTGGGAGGCCCACCTGGGGATTGTTGCCAGCAGCATAAGAGGTAGATCTAGAGGAGAAGAAAGGCTGTTGGGAGCTGGTAGGAGCTGTTGGGAGCCTGTTGGGGGCTGAGAGAAGCTGTAAGGAGCTTTTGCTTCTTTTGGAGGACCTTGCCATGCTGGCTTTCCTGTTGAACTTGGCTGTTCCCATTGTCCAAGGATCTCGGGACCTTGTTGTCACTGAGAATGGGTTGTTTCACTTTGGGGGAGCTCTGGTCCTCACTCTGAGCATCACTTCCTGGCTCTGGAGGGGAAGATGATGCACAGTTCAGTCTCCTGGAGAAGCTTGTCGTGTTGGCCTCTCTGATAGGAACTTGGCTTTCCTGATCATAGGTGGAGTTAGGGACCTCACTGTTGGTGAGGATGGCTGTGGT